CGTGTCCATCCAGCCACTGCGCCCCTTCAGGGCATAACTCACGCATCTTCTGCAACTTCTCCTTAAATTTTTTCTCTTGGTAGGCAACAGCTGATGAACACACAGAAAAGTCATAAGTTAGTGATAATTGTCCAATTTATTTAATTTAAACAACCAACAGTTAAACTCCTAGGAGAGGTATACATCTCCTTAGAAACACAGCCTTTTTGACAGAAAAAAGGGGGGATCTGAGGATCGCTTAAAATCTGATTGTTCCAGGAAGTGGGAGGAAATGATAATCGCTTAAAATCCCATTTCCTTAGGCATGTATATCTTACAAAGAGTCTGACAAGTGTTGCATTGAATTTCCTATAAGCTATTGTTATTTGACAAAATTAAACAACCAGTGAAATAGAGAGCTTACCAATCCACCATAAAATTATTAGCAAGCTTCTTCTGCTTGAAATGATGGTTTCAATTGCTCTTGAAGTGTCGTATGCACCACCTTTGGGACTACTTCCAGGCTAGATCAAATCTAAGATGGCAGCTCTGATGCCGGCATGTCGATCAGAGATGATTTTCAGGTTCGTTCTCCTGGTGACGTGGAGCTGAATTTGCCGGAAAACCATCCATAGCTATCGGCATTCTCTCCCTCAACAATGGTGAAGGCTAAAGGAAAGACTTGTCTGTTTGCATCCGCACCACTGGCAATCAAGAGAGTGCCCTTGTACTTGCCGATAAGGAATGTACCATCCACTTGAATAACAGGAACACAGAAGCCAAAACCATCAATAGATGGCTTGAATGCCCAAAAAGACGTTTGAAATGGCGTTTGTCACCGGGCTCTGGTGGCTGTAACTCTTCGTCTTGGTATTGAGGGGGGAAAACAGTGCCAGGGTTAGACGCCTCCAATGCCAAATTCAACATGGGAAGGAATGCATATAATTCTTCCCAATCACCGAAGACGGTGGCCAGAGCTTTTTGCTTTCCATGCCATGCCTTCTTATACCATAACGACTTGTAATGTCAGCGATTATGACTTTCACCTTCAGGTCAGGATATTGCTCAATTAGATGCTTGATAGCCGCGGCCACCACCCTGGATTTCAACTGTCGATGGCCTTGGGATGTTATGGATGACACAGATGTGTGTGTGTGTTCACCGCACGAGACATGACCCAATAGCCGTGTCTCTTTCTGTTGATGGCCCAAATCCTGGCATTGCATCCCTCTTGTTGATTACGACATATGACTATAAGCCTCTTCATGTTGGAATGAGTCGTGTGCCATTCAAAATTATGAGTCATTGCTTCAGTTTCAATGGCGTGCCACACCTCCTTCTTCAAACCAAATTGTTGGCCCTTCATAAACCCAGTGAGTGGACCCCATACTGGGACCTCTGGCGGCTCCATGTCACTGTCGACACACCAATCGTCGTATGGAATGTGAGTGTATTACGATATAGGTACACGGTCACGAGACACCTCATCATCATCTGAGTCTGATTCTGGGCCTCCTAAATCATCAACACCTTCAAGAGGGTCGGAGATGTCTGCACTGACATTGCTCCCTTCTTCTTCATCGGAGGGGTCACTAACTGGTGCTGGCAGGGCATCTTCCATCTGATCCAGATCATGAAAGGCACCTTCATCAACACTGTAATGGTAGTTGTGAAAACTGCCACTACCCGAATGAAAGTTGTACTCGGGTTGGTTGGCATGGTCGCGTTGGACTTCTTCTTCATATGATGGGAAAGATTAATGATGACCTTCACCTTGCTCTTGGTACTGAAAGTAGAAATGAGGATCATGGTAACTTTGGTAGGGATGATCTCCATATAATTCACCTCCACCATGGATACCAGATGTTTGACCGTCTCCAGAATGACCTCCAACGCCTTCGACCGCCTCGGTGTAAACGAAAACCTCGGCTTTGGAAAGATTATTGTACCTCAAGAATTCGAGCATGGCATCTAGTTCATCCTGAGTGGTTATGAGATATTTCTCATGCCACAATGACCCACCTTCTCTGTTTGGATATCGATATACCATACGATCAACTCTTCTCGTGCCATCCATGCAAGTAACGTTAGTACACATTTGATGGAGGTCTTCAAGCATCAGTCTGGTAGCGACCTTTATTTTTTGAAAATTGCCACCGACGTAGGTGACCCCCTTTCCGGTCTCTTCCGTGTAACCATTCCAACGTAACCCAAGCATCTTTCGGAATGCCATCTGCAATGAACCGTAATTCAGTTAAAATCATTAAAATCACAAATCACAATAAAATGTAATACAAAATAAACTTACGAGTTAACGTCAATCGCAAAAACAATAAAAAGTAGGGTGCTACAACAGAAAATTGAAGAAGAAGAAGAAGAAGAAGAGGTTTCCCGGGACTGCCTTTTATAGGCTAAATCATCATTGAAAACCGCAGGGGGAGGGAGCGGTTTTCATCTGCCATGCAGCCCCACGTCTGTCAACCTGCATGGCCAACATGCTGGATGTCGGAAAAATGGGGACGACACACAAACCGCAGAGGGCTGCGGTTTGTGTGTCGGCAATGGCAAAACCGCCCTCTGAGGATGCGGTTTAGGTTAGAGAAACAAAACCGCATCCTCAGCTTGCCGTTCTGCTAGGTCAGCCTAAGAACCGCCTTGTCAAGACGTGGTTCTGTTAGGTCATAACACAAACCGCTTGGCCAAGATGCGTTTTAGTCCCTGAAACTCAAACTGCACCCTCAGGTTGCGGTTTATATGTAAACCGCACGGCCAAGGTGCGGTTTTGAATAAAAGGTGCTAGTTTTGGAATTTGTGTGGGCTGGGTGCTATTTTTGTAATTTTTATTTTAATGGTGCTATTTCTGGAAAAATACCTTGATTTTTGGGCTCTGTTCTTATTAGCAACACACACTGTTTTTTTACTTTTGTTTCCTCTCGCTCAGGTGATCCCAAATTGGCGCACACCGACATTAGTCTCCCCACCTCCTTCTTTTCCAATAATTACAAAATCTCCTTTTTCTATGGTTTGTTATTCTCCACTACTCCACTATGCGCATCTAGTGCAACTCCTTAATCTGTATGTTGTACTTAAACCCATTTTCGTGATCAATGAAAGACATGTCAATTTCAAAACCTCCTTTACCGCTGAGAAGCAACAACAACAGTAGCAGCAGGAGAAAGAGTTCTTTCTTCAACACGCCGCCATTTTTCGCGTGGGGGATTGCAGATACGGATTACGGAGAAAGGACAGTGCACGATGAAATCGCCCGAATACCTAACCAGACCGCTGCTTATCAGCACCTCCGCCATCTCTCTTCAGAGCTAAACCCAACTGTATGGTAGCGAGATAAAATCGGAATCCCAGCTACTGCCAGAGAATTAAGCCGGCGACATGTGGATTCACGGTGGTCGTCGGCTTGATCAGTGCTGGTTTCGGTGTGGACACGCACCAAGGTGTGGGGCCATCACTCCTCTGCCGGATATTTGTCCAATTATTTTTTATTTTAATTGTCATCATATTAACTTAACGGTCCAGTCAACAATTATGTTTGCCACGTCATTAAAAAGTTGACGGAGTTAATGGAATCTAACGGAGACTAACGGCCGGTGACTAATAGTGAAACAATTCGTAAAGTTAGTGGAGAATAAGAAAGAAAAGTGATTCGGGTGGAAAAAGTGAAAGATTTATGTAATTTGAGTGACCAAACGTGTAATTTATCTATTTTTTGTTGCTTTTTGTATTGTGGATTTTAGTTTTAGAGATTTCAAATTTCTAAAATCTAAGAATATCAAATCTCTCATAATCAGAGAGATTCTATATCTTGATTCGTGTGAATTTTTTTCTTCTACTTTTTCTCCTTTTTTTTATTTATCACATTAAATATTTTATCAACAAAGTTTTAATATTTCTCAAGCTATCTAACTTTTTATTAAACATGTTATTTAATATAAAATTAAGTTTTTATTTTCATTGCATATTAATAATCACAGTTACCAATTCATTACCCTAATCTCCAAACCTTCAATTTTGAACACAAAACCGAAACTCCAAATTATAAACCCTGAACACTAACTCTTAATTTCTTAACTCTAAAACTTTAAAATCTAAGTAAAATTTGGAATAATTTTTATTTCAAATTCATGTTGTAAATAACAAATTCGACGGACGTATGTTAAGGTAAGCGTTTGCCTGTCGAATAATTCATGTTGTGTAGATCATGAACTTATAAGTTTGGGGCATGATACTATACTCTAGCTTCTAATGGGTGAACCCCAGTTCCCAATTTTGAAGATGGTGATGGTGCAAATACATGGTTGGGAATTGTTTGATCGTCTTTCTCTGAGGAAGAGGCGAAACATAATCAACATTTGGTATTGCTACTGCGCATGACTTCGTGGGTCATGATAATATTACGGAGGAACGTCTTTATAAGAATATTTTTGTTTCATTCTTTAACCCAAACCATAATATTCATTTAACTTTAAAATGAAAATCAAAAAGGAGCACAAAATCCTTAACCGTCCACGGAGAGCGACAGAGGATTCTACCCCGGACCTGGTCGTCAGTGACCATGAAGCGCCATAAATCTCGATTAGAGGTGGCAATTGGATCGGATTCGTGGATTGGATTGGTGGATCAAATGGATTGGTGGATTCATGGATTGGATCAAATGGATTGGTGGATTGATCCATGAATCCAAATGACATCCAAGGCTTGGACCAAATGTAAATTTTGAAAAGTTTAGGTACTAAAATGTCATAATGAAAAATTTTAGGCACCAAAATGTAATTTTCCAATGATATTTTCGTATAAAAATATAAAATTTAGGTACCAAAATGTAAAATATAAAAAATATAGGTACCACATCGTAATTTGCCATTTGGATCCATGGATTGATCCATGAATCCACCAATCCAATTGGATTTGGATCAAATAGATTGGATTTAAATGGATTGGATTAGGTGGATAATTTGGTGGATGGATTGGATTGGATTCATGGATTTGGATCATAATTGCCACCTCTAACCTCGATGCACTTCATGAGCAACAATGGGATGCGCAGGAGAACCCCACATAGCATTGACCACGCGCTCCATCATAGACCTTGCCATCGAACATGGTGAGAACAATCGCCCGACGAAATAGAATTTGGCTTGCCCAGGATCAAGTTCAACATGCGCCGCCTCAAAATGGACAACTTGATCGATATCCATCCGTTCCATACTGAGCACTACCTCCCCAATTGCTCGCTATTGAAGCCCAGATGAGGAACCGAGTACAAGAAGCACCAAGTAGGAGGAAGAATTCGGAGAACATGCAAACTGTCGATGATGGCAGTTGAAACTTTCCTTTGAAACACCGAACCCTTAAGTGGAATCCAATATGAATCGTTGATAACTTGGGCAATGCTTGCGTGGGGGACACCCACGACTGCTTGAGAACCCATAAATCTCGCAGGAGAAATGGGTCTGTGGAATCCAGTGTCAGAGAGACGGCAGGGACAAAATCGGCAAGACGGAGATCGTACGTAACCACCTAATCGCCTTTTTTTCGCCCTCTCGCGGTAAATTTTATTATTCACTAGAACACAGAAAATGAAGTCCACTTCGTTCAGTAGGCCAAAATGTCCCAAGAGAGCGGAATTGGACTCCAAAAAGCCAAGCTGTCGTTTAAATAAATAAAGGCCAATACTACGTTGCGACTATTAAAAGTGTGGTACCGATGATGCTAATTCCGATTGGTCCATGTAGCAAGACAAAATTATGTGGCAGTTTTTGATTTCATAGGAACCGAACCTAAAATATGTCAACCAACCGACCCATCCCTTGCAACTAGGGGTGTACATGGGTTGGGTGGTCTGGGTTTAGTCATTTTAATCACCCGACCCATGCACTATGGTTTGAGAAATATTAAACCCAAACCCACCCAAAAAAATTTAAACCCTATGGTTTGTTTCTAATTGGGTTGGGTCGGGTTCGAGATATTTTTAAGTAAAAACCCAACCCAACAGAAAATATGTAATTATTCTACACCGTAAAAATATTTTATAACTAATTAAAATTTCAAACGAATAAACCGAGGTGAAATGTATCAAAATTCACAAATGTTGTTTGATTTTTAATAAAATATGATTTACTTCAACATATGGGTATTTTTTTCATGACATTTGTTGAAATAGGCTAAAAAGGTTATAAACTAACACATCCATAATATGTTATTCTATTAAAATTGTACACAAGAAAAAGGATTACGTGAATTATAGCTATATAAAATTTATGTCTAAACTTTAAGGCAAAGAATGCATTAGATTAGGGAGACCATGAGAGAAAAACATGGCGAAATATCTTAATTTTCTCATAAGTATGGCTATATACGACATAAATAATATTTTTTGGATACGAACACATACCAATTAAGTTGGAGCACGGGTTGGGTCGGGTTCTACGGATTGTGTAATCCAAAATCCAAACCCAACCCAAAAGAGGCGGGTTGTACAAAAGAAAACCCTCACCCAACCCAATACCTTAGTTTTAGCAATAAACACGGGTGAGTTGGGTCGAATTGGACAGATGGGTCGGTTTTTGAGGGTGTGTTTGTTCACCCCTACTTGCAACTAAACCAAATCGATGAAGTTTCTTATTATTTCTGTGAACCATCACCCACACAATTCACCATATTCAAAAGCACTCTGCCCACGAAAATATCCAGGAATAGAGTGATAAGGGAAGTTGTGCAAGATGTGGCCGACGGTAGCTCACAAGTCCCTCGGACGATCCTCAAAGCACCTCTCTTCTTCTCCGAACAACTGCTAATTCATATGCACTTCCCTCTATAGAATAGTATTACACACTACAAGAAAACTTGGTTTTAGAGGGAGAGATTATTTGCTTCTAAATGACATTTATTTGCTTCTATATATCTATAGAGACAAATAGGTTATTTGCATCGGACACCTCTGTCTCTAATTCCTTTTAGAGACAACTATAAATGAAAATAACAAAAGCTACTAATTATGGAATTTGAAGCAAATTTATTGTATTGGGATTACTATCTTTAAGAGCTTTTTTTTACCTTCTTATTTACTTTTAGAGGCAATTACATTTGTTTGCAATGTTGATTTTTTATGCAACTATAGTTCCTTTTAAAGTAACTTATGGAGACATGAATAATTTGTCTCTAATGAATACATTTCGAAGCAAATAGTTTTCTTACTATTTTTGCTTGTCATTGCAAGTAATATCTTTTATAAATTATAATTGGCTCTATTTACTAAAAGTAAGAATATGTTGATTAAATAAATCAAATAGATCAACGAGTTCCATTATTCTTAAAATACATGAACATTTAATACATCAAACTAAATACATTGATTTTCCTCAAATTTTTATGCTTATATATACTTAGTTTGACAAGGAAAACACTACACTAAAAAAAATGTATCCTAACAGTGAAAGACTACTGAAGTCCGAACTCTTCTTCTCTCCCTCATTATCACTTTTTCCATTGATGCTGCTGCACTTGAACCAAAAATGTAGATAATCACATAACCCATGTCTTGCTTTGCTTTAGTTGTCACCACCAATCATCATTGAGCATCACTATTATCTCGATCAGATTTGAAAAACTCGAAAATCAAAACCTGCAAGGACAAAAAGAACAAGTAGCTTAAAATCAAGAAACCAAATTAATATATTCAATCAAGTTTTAATATCTACGGACAATCCGAAGAGTTAGAATCTTTAGATTGTTGACAATCTATAGATTTAAACCCATATTCTCCAAACGACCCCTTAGATTTGCATCTATAGATTCTTTATAGTTCGAGTAACGTACTATATAGTAGCTAATATTATATTTGTCTCTAAAGCTATTTTTTTCAATTTATTTCCTATAAATTATAAATAAAGATTATGCAATAGAGATAAATGATATGGCATAGAGAGACAAATAATTTATTTGTTGCCAAAGTTTAGCTATTGATACTATTACTGTAACTGCCTCTAATTATTTGCTTCAATAGCCATGTTTTGTTATAGTGACAATATAATATTGATTGATTTTCTTCATCTTGGAAGCACCAACTTTGTACGCCATAATTGATGATGACTGAAAATTTCTTCACATCGGAATGAAGGAACATCATTTGGCTCAGTCTGAGATAGAAACCAAATATTTGTTTCACTCGTTCCAAAAATCTTGAAGCCGGTGGAAAGCTTTTGACTGAGTGTTACTGAAATTCTTATGCAAATTCATGGCGCTTGCATTCAACCTGGACACGATTTATGGAAAGAAATGAATTGTTGCGTAGAGAGAAAGAACCCATTTTATTGATTGAACATAGAAAGTACAAAGGGACCCCATTTATTGATCCAGCTAGTGTCAAGAACCAGTTGATCCCAATAACTCGAGTTGTTGGGAGAGGTTCAATCGTGGATCATATACCACAACACTAACATGCCCCCCTCAAACGAAAGCCACTCACAAGGGCTTGAAGTTTGCACTGGTCTAAAGACAAGAATACCATATGCTTACCAAATAGGGGTCACCGGGAAGTTTGCACTGGTCTGACAAGGGTTTTATTTTTCTCAAATTGAATTCCTGAAGAATGGATTGGTCCAAACTTCTCAAAGACCTGGTGAGACAATTGAAATGCATTCAAAAATGAATATGTATGTTTGGGGAGTTTAATCCCCAATTGCATGAAGTCAAATCACATAGCACCTCGGTACTAAGTACAAAAATGATGGCAAGAACTGAATTCATCAAGCACATTGGTGGGTCAATCAATCTTTATCTAGAACCTGACCTAAAATCAAGTTCATACAATATGATGGTCTTCACATTCTGCAAAATAAATAATTGGCAAAAAAAGGGGAAATGAGGATGATATAGATAATAATTATATAGACAGATAATAGAAAGATCTGGGTAAATCTAATTTCCACACAAATCGTGAGCATGGACTCCATCATCACAAGCGTTGTAAAGGAAGGCAAAGAACAAGGAGTAACATCAGATTCAAATGGAAGATTATGGATTTATTGTGGGACACTTACAATACAGATACAAGGAGATCAATGAGGTGGAAGACAGAGACTGGAGAATGGATCAGCGGCACAGAAGTTCGCTTGAGCAGGAGAGAGAGGAAGGAATAAGATCCATAGATGGGAGACGGAAACAGAGACGCCTCCGTTCCCTTGGCCAATAGCAATTTCAACCGGTTCATGGTTAGTGGTTACCGAGTCTGACACGAGATTTAATACCTTTAACCAGTGCCATGTCATTATCTGCATGGACCCAGTGGCGGACCTAAGGCATGCCAGGGTGTGTCGTCCGACACACCCTCGCTCGAGAATTTTACGGAGGACCTACATATTTTTGGTACAAATTTTTTTACTTCGGGATAGCCGACACACCCTCAATAATTATAGCCGATACACCTTTATTATACTCGAAGAAATAATTATCCAAATGAATCAATCTTAATCATAATCCTTTTTAATTTTGTTTAAAATAACTCATAAAGCATAATCCTATCCTTCCTATTAAAAAAAACACTCTTCGCGCATACAATATACATTACTATCAAGTCGATTTATTCTATGCAGTTATAGATTTGCAGCTGCAAGAATTGAATACTCGATTTGGTGAGGTGAACACTCGATTGTTGGACTGCATTTCTTGTTTTAGTCCAGCTAACTCTTTTGCTTCTTTTGATAAAGCAAAGTTGATAAGTCTTACTTAGTTTTATCCCGAGGAGTTTCCATCCAATGTGCTCTCACGACTTCATCAACAATTGGGGGCTACATTTCTCATGTCAAGGAGGATAAGAGCTTTGATGGATTTCGAGGAATCGACGAGCTAGCTAGGAAATTGGTGGAAAGGGGAAATGACACTCTTTATCCTTTAGTTTACTTGCTGTTAAAGTTGGTGTTGACCTTACCTGTGGCAACTGCAAGATGCGAAAGAGCATTTTCAGCTATGAAGATAATCAAGAACGATCTTCGAAATCGGTTGAGTGACCAATTTAGGAATGATTGTTTAGTTGTGTATATTGAAAAAGATTTGCTTTGCAGCATAAGTGATGAATGTATTTTAGAGACATTTCAGCAGATGAAAAGTCGTCGCGGTTCGTTGTAAACATGACATTATGAACTTTATGAATTAATTTTTTTTAATTTTTAATTAATTTTTAATTTAATTATTATTTTATTTTATCGGCGACACACCTCTCCGACAATCCTGGGTCCGCCACTGCATGGACCAATCACAGGTTGTGACACCTAACGGCACCGCAGTATCAGCCATAAATAAAAAGTGGATAGTCACCAAAAGGTTGACAATCCGCGGGTTGATCCGACCCGGTCGAGCTAGTGGGTCAAGGATTAACGGGTCACTCGTTTTATCCCGTTTCAGCCCGGAAATATGAAAAGAGTCATTATATTGTACTTATCCTGATAAATTATATCAAATATCATCTAACATATGAGTAATGACATATAACATTACACCAAAGTAACATATCGTCCTTAGATTCAACATATAACGAAAATTCACACACACTTATATAACATCAAATCAATATTCAAATGTCCGACTAAAGATTCCAAAGATTGAGTTAGACGAAAAGAAAAATCGGAAAATAGGCGAATTTCGCAAATCAAAGAAAAAAATGATACAATTTGACCTCCAATCGCCCCGACGGGTACTTACGGCCCGTTTTTCTTATCGGGTCGGGTTGAAGAAGGGTCAACCGCGGGTTGACAACCTTATAGTCACAAAAGAATTTCATGCTCAAATTGGATAAATATATATTTCCCCCAAACTGTTCCTTTCATTAACTCCCCAAGTTGAAACCCTAGAATTGAAAATCCAATAGGGTTCTTCGAATCGTGCTATCATCCACCGCTCGTCGACCTGAAGGCTAGAGGGAAGGAGTCCCCCAAAGCGCCGGAGCCATCTAAACCATCCAAGGCACCAAAGCTCATGTCGTCCGAGTCCCCTACTGAATCAACGACGAAGATGGGAACCTGCGTGCGCTGCCTAGCCGTTGGTGAGCTGAAACTCGTACCCAAGAACGACGATTCCAATTATGTGGTCAAGAGCGACGATTTCAAGGGCGATGAAGAATTGAGGCTCCGTGTCATCCATTATCGGAGGAAGAAGTGGATCACCGGTGTAAGTTAGACACATTTGATTTGCGATTTTAATTAATTAGGGTTTCCACAGTTTTTCGTGTAACAATCTTTTTTTCTGACTGTACGTTTGTTTGCTTGATGATTTCATTTTCTCAGCAATCGTTCTTAATTGCATGCAGTGTTTTTATGCTGATTGTCCACCTAATTACCCTAGTTTCGAGGGAATCTTCTACTGCGAACATTGGCCCGTAACTCCTGATACGAAGCAGAAGCTTGACAAATCTCTTGAGTTCGCCATCGACAATTATAACAGAGAGAAGGTAATTCATTTAGCAACCATGCACTGATCTCTGTCTTGTTGATCTGGGAGGACATAATCTTGACATGTCACGATTGACCTTTTTCCTCTTATGGTTGTGAACGTTTCCAGAGGGACAACTTGACTTTAACTGAAATTCTGCACACAAATCTGGAGACTTATGGTTGTATGATCTTCTATGTAACTTTTAAAGGACTCAGTGAGAAGTTTGGTGTCCAGACTTACCAGACTGTGGTCACCTGTTCAAAGTATTACACTGGCGATCATGAAGTTATAATCTTCAGAAATGGCGAAGGTACGAGTTGCTGACATCTAGTTAATTCGAGTTGCGGTTGAATCGGGTTAACGTTGCAGGTCGGGCGGATTACGAGTTGTTGATTTTTAGTTAATTCGAGTTGCGGTCGGGTTGCGAATCGGATTGATCGGGCGGGTTAGTCGTGCAGGGCTCTATTTTGACACCTATATACATATACATGGCTTTATATAAGCCTACAATTAACAAAATATCAAGACCTTATTAATTAGTCCACATATGCACCTCCTTTGAATTGTGGTGCATAATTTTTCTTTTTTTCTTTTCATCAAGATTAGCACACATTTATTTCCACATCCCATCGTATCTAATCCAAATCATTCTCTTGATTTTCATATCACATATTTTGTCACCATGCATTTAATTAATTTGTTTTATTTTTTGAATTAACTTCATGATATTTCAACAGCGGTGCTTGTTCATTTGTCATTCTTTTATGTTGCTGAAAGATTTTCAGCTTTCTGTGTGGATGATCTTGTTGCTTTTATTGGATGGATGGTTCTTTGTCATGTTTGTATCAATGTTGGTCTGCTTGTGGATTGATTGCACTACTATGTAGAGATTATTTGTACTGTTAACGAACCATGGATGTTTTTCTTTTTATAGGTGACTATGAGGATTTGTTGACCCCAACAGATTCTTCCTTCCAAGAGTATACAAGGGTCAAAAAAGAGCTAATGTGCACCTTAGACGGTCATGTGTTACCATCTGACCCCTTTTATGAAGACTTCAAAAGGATCTGTGCAGAACAAAGGGAAAGAGAGAATGCCAGAGTAAAAGAGCTGATGTGATATTCTCTTCTCTTGAAGGTAGGGTGACAACTATGGTCTTGAACTGAGAAGTAGTGGGGGTAGTATGGTCTCTATGCTATGGTTAGCAAGAACCAGAAGCAACAGTATCAGTAGTTTAATGTTGTGCAGGCATTTGAGTAGCATCTTGGTCTATCTCTATTTATGGGTTCTTTTAAGGCTTGGACTTTTTTTCTCTCCGAAGACAACTAGCAAGGACCCGCTCGCTTGCGCTTCGCGGTGAATGAAAAGCTCTACTTATATTTATAAAGTTATCGTGTTAGGAGGATATTGAATTTGTAATCGGAACTATATGGTTGTATCAATATTATTTCTTGTACACGAAGTTTTCAGTAGTACTACTACACCACGTTCCTCTCACTTTTGTTTAACAACTAATACAACATTCGTTCGGACAATAGGTGATTCACTCAACAAAAGTAAAACGATATATAAAAGTTAATATAAGTGAATTTAGAATCAAGGTCCAACTAAAAATGAGGCAAAAAGTCAAACAACATTCATACTTTCGATACATTCAATCCTATAAGAAAATACTCGTACAGATCATTTAGTACCAAATGAATCAAGAATTCATTTCATTTTAAAATGAATTACCGTGCAGAATTCATTGTCAAATGAATATTGTGTTTGATATGTCATATTCAAATCCTTAGAAATAAAATGAATTGTCGTGCAGAATTCATTGTCAAATGAATTTCTGTGTTTGGTATGTCATATTTTTAAGTAATTTAGTTAATAAAAGAGGATAATTATATCATTCTATTATAATTAGTAAATACTTGTGGAATTCATTTGGAAATTCCATCGCAATTCCTGGGAATTGGTATAACTAGTTCCAATTCCATAGAATTCAAAATTTAGAATTGAAAACCAATTCTTTTAAATGCCAAACACAATAATATTTAATTTCAAAATGAATTTCAAAAAACTTATGGAATTCATTTATACCAAACGGTATGGTAAACATTGTTTCTTTCCCTATGGTTCTCCCCCTATCTTTTCATCAATTAGCAGTCTAACATTTCTGATTTTAGGCATGAAGTTTAGCATAAAAATTGTAGGTACGAAAATCTCATAAAATTTAGATACCAAAACATAATTATTCAATGATTTTACATTAAAATTAAATTTGGGGTATCAATATGTAAAATTTATAGTGACTAAGTTGTAATTTTATTAAATTTGGTTATCAAAATGTAAATTATGGTTCAAAAGGATTGGTGGGTTGAATTCAAGTGAAATCTAAACATTGGACCAATATGTAAACTAAAAAAATTGTAGGTACGAAAATCTCTTAAAAATTTAGATACCAAAACATAATTGTTCAATGATTTTACATTAAAATTAAATTTGGGTATCAAAATGTAAAATGTACATTATAGTGACTAAGTTGTAATTTAATTAAATTTGGATATCAAAATGTACATCATGATTCAAATTGGTGGATTGAATTCATGAATTTAAGTGAAATCTAAATATTGGACCAATATGTAAGCTTAAAAAATATTGTAGGTACGAAAATCTCATAAAATTTAGATACCATAACATAATTGTTCAATGATTTTACATTAAAATTAAATTTGGGTATCAAAATGTAAAATCTACATTTAGTGACTAAGTTGTAATTTAATTAAATTTGAGTATCAAAATATAAAATATACATTATAGTGACTAAGTTGTAATTTTTTTTCATTAATGAAATGTAATAATTTAATGTCCACATCGTTGTAAATAAGATAATAATTAATTAAAAAATAATAAATAAATAAATAATAAAAATGAAAGATTTAATGTGACACTTACATACATTATGGTTCAAATTGGTGGATTGGATTCATAGATTTAAGTGAAATCTAAACATTGAACCAATATGTAAACTTAAAAAATTGTATGTACGGAAATCTCATAAAATTTAGATACCAAAACATAATGGTTCAATGATTTTACATTAAAATTAAATTTGGGTATCAAAATATAAAATGTACATTATAGTGACTAAGTTGTAGTTTACTTAAATTTGAGTATCAAAATGTAAAATATACATTATATTGACTAAGTTGTAATTTTTTTCATTAATGACAATTACTAATTTAATGTCCACAACCTTGTAATTAAAATAATTATTAATTAAAAACTAAAACTAAATGAAAAATAAATAAAAAGATTTTATGTGACATATACTATTCATTAGAGTCACATCAAAAACTTCTATTTAATAAATATAATAATTATTATTATTATAATAATGGCATTGTTCAGGTTTGTACGCTCAAGCATGTGCATTTGTGGTATTCTTTTTCTTACACATAAAATGTGTACTTATGATGTGCTGTTCTATTCCTCGGAATGATAATTGTTCTCGAGCCCTTCCACCAAGAGCCACTTCACAGCAAAATCAGTTTGTCATTTTGCCTTCCCTCTGGTGACCGGCATAATTCTTAGGGTTGCGGATAGAATAACAACGGGACCGGTTATTGTAACAACACTCATTGTGTTGTTATTGTAACAACACTAGTTCCCAACCAATAGGAAGCTAGGGATGTGATGACTTTTTATTAGTTGAGTTGACCTAGTGTAAAATCAAAATAGGGGTATAATTGTCATTATGAAAAATATGTTTAAATAATAAATAATAAATAAAAAATAAAAAAAATATTTTTTTATTTTCTGCCCAAAAAATTGGTCGCCGGAATTCTGCCACTGGTCGCCGGAAAGTGGTCGCCGGTCACCGGAATATGCTATTTGTCGCCGGAATATGCTATTTGTCGTCGGAATATGCTTACCGGTGTCGGAATATGCTTACCGGCGTCGGAATCTAGTCATAGGGGCCGGAATATGCCTATCGGCGTCGGAATCTGCTCACTGACGGTCACCGGAGTTCGGTCAACGAACTTCGTTGACCGGGTCAACGGTCTTCGTTGACCGGGTCAACAGTCAACGAAGACCGGATGTATGGTCTACATTGTGAGATTTATGGTTTGGTTTCTCATATTTTCGTATGCCTTTTGTGGTTTGCTTTATCGTGTTTGTGGTTTGCATTAAGAAGTTTCTGGTTTGCTTTATCGTGTTTCTGGTTTGCATTGAGGAGTTTCTGGTTTGCTTTCAAAAGCTTTGTGGTTTGCATTGTGAGGTTTTTGGTTTGTTTTAATATATTTGTGGTTTGCATTAGGACGTTTATTGTTTGCTTTTTTGTGGTTTGATTTACTGTGTTTATCGTTTGCATTACGAGGTTTCTGGTGTGCTTTCGCAAATTTTGTGGTTTGCTTTGTGAGGTTTGTGGTTTGTTTTAGGAGATTTGTGGTATGCATTAGAAGGTTTATGGTTTGTGTTTCAGCCAAGAAACAAGAAAGCTTCCGATCTGTGAAAGGGCGGGGATGGCCCCCATTATCTACACTCCGACGATTAACATTAGTACCATGATAGAGAAATAGGGAGATCTTAGGTAGAGAGAGATTGTAGAAAGATAAGTGATATGTCAAAATGAGTAGAGGAGAAGAAGAGATCCCTTACTTGGAAGACCTAAGAGTATATTTATAGGTCAAGCCACCCTTCATTGGGCTTTCATTGGGTCTTTGTGGTGTTCTGTGGACTTGGGCCCATATGGGCTTGTGGATTACGGTTGTTGTTCGAGTGGGGCCATGTCATATTTACGGGTCCAACAATTGTCCCCCAGTTAGGTATTCAGCAGTATACTGAATGCCTAACTAAAAATTCTTCAAGTTGTCACATCTTTTGCATTTTGCTTCTTGTCCCCCGACTAGCTGATCCATGTCCCTCGTGGTCATAATAGCTTAAGAACTCGGAGCAAGAACTATGTAGAGGAAGAACAACGTAACATAATGCAACTCATAACATGGTTAGTGATATAACTTAAACAATGAGGAAAAACTATTTGTTACACATCTGATTTCTAACAAAACTATGAAATTTTCGGCGCATAATTGAAGATTTTTTTTACTTAGAAAAATTCTGAAAGTGCATTCACATGTTATTCCCAATTTTCCCCCAGTTAGGCGTCCAGTGGTGCACTGGACGGCTAACTAAAGTTCCCCCACTTGTCACCCAACTCAATTAACTTAAGTCATCCAACAATATATAAGTTCAAAAGAGAAAGCTATCGGGATGCATAATAATTTGACCCATAGTATAATTAAGAATATAACTCAAGTAGTAACAAAATATCTGATGCATTTGTGGTGCCCAAGTGAAGACATTTACTTTCGGTACATATTTTGGAGATGCAAGTTGTCCCCTCAAATTTTCCCCAATTAGGCACTCATTAGTATACTCGTTTCTAACCAGAAATCTTCAGCTTGTCAAATTTCCTACAAGCTCAATTTCGGGTGTGATGTTTACGAGACTAAATTAACTCATGTCCCCACTCCCCAACATCATACTAGTATCTCAAACCAAAAGCACTACATTTGGGCGCTGGTAGTACTAGAATCAAGGGCGTTAGATTCGGGCGCGGAGAGTATTTCAAACCAAAGGCGCTAGATTCGGGCGCGGAGAGTATTCAAACCAAAGGCGCTAGATTGGGCGCGGAGAGTTCGAACCATGGGCGCTAGATTCGGGCGCGGAGAATATTTCAAATCAAGGATGCTTTAAGCATGTGGGAGCGAAAAAGTAATCCTAACCAATTCGATATATTTTGGGCGCATGTGGAGATAAAAACCAAATTTATGAAAAGAGTGAAGTACCTTAGCTTGATTGAGTGTCTGAAGTCTGAACTGAAATCCATGTTAAAGCTTGTCGTGAATGATAAGAGCCTGTGGCATTTTGGTTCAAATAAAAAATTGCAATCAATTTGATGAAGGCGCTTGCTGTTGGCGGCTTGGTTCCAGTCTCGGAACTCATCTCTCGAAGTTTATGCAGTTTAATTTTGACCACTTGGCGTCCGAGTTGGGCTAGTGGCCCACATCACTTCTAACTATGGAATTCACCACAATGAAACTTGGAGGCGCATGATCAACTCGGATTGGGCCTCATAGGCGCCCAGGCTCATTGTGGTTGGCGCGCCAGGCTCATTGTGGTTGGGGTGGTCCAGGCGCATACTTTGAGTAGATTTAGGTTGGAATTTTTGATTCAATTTCATTGGGCCAAGAGCTTTCATTCCTTGTTCGCCACTTTAGCTCTCTTGCAGCACAACACGCTTTGCTTCCTTCTTGTGTCTACTATGCTCTTATTTCATCCCATTGATAACGCCTCTCCTCCATTCTCCTCCATTCTCCTACTAGTGCTAATGTACACTTAGGCCAGGCGCTTCGAATTTCGACGATAGACGCAGGCACACCATGATGCGTCTTCACCATCATGTCCGTCGAAAGTTTCCTGACTAGGCGCCCATCGCCTAGTATCACCTCTTTCTTCCTCTTTTGAGGCGCCCCGCCCAGCTCTTCCTTTCTCTAGCGCCTTAAACTACATCTTGGCGCTTCATAATTACTATGCGCCTTCATT